TCCCCACATCCTTGCCACCACTTGTTGTTTGTTGATTTATTGATGTTAGCCATTCTGACAGGTGGGAGCTGATATCTCATTGTGATTTTAATTTACATTTCTCTGACAATTAGTGATGTTGAGCATCTTTTCATATGTCTATTGGTCATCTCTATGTCCTCTTTGGAGAAGTGTCTATGCAGAACCTCTGCCCACTTTTTAATTGGATTATTGGGCGGCTGGGATTGGTTTGAGTTGTATAAGTTCTTTGTAAATTTGGAGTATTAACACCTCATGGAGTGTATCATTGGTGAATATTGTCTCCCATTCAGTAGGTTGTCTTTTTGTTTTGTTGATGGTTTCCTTTGCTGTGTAAACTCTTTAGTTTGATGTAGTCCCATTTATTTATAGTTTCCCTTGCCCAAGCAGTAATGTCAGGAAAATATATTGCCAAGAAAAATGTCAGAGATTTTACTGCCTATGTTTTCTTCTAGGGCTTTTATGGTTCAAGTCTTACATTTAAGTCTTTAATTCATTTTGAATTTATTCTTATATACAGTGTAAAAAGATAGTCTAGGCCCTGACCAGTATGGCTCAGTGGGTTGGAGCATCATCCCATACAATGAAAGGTTGTGGGTTCAATCTCCAAGTAGGGCACATGTCTGGGCAGTGAGTATGATCCCCAATCACAGGCCCTTCTCAGGGCACATATGGGGATTGATCAATGTTTTTCATATCGCTATCTCTCTCTCTCTCTCTCTCTCTCTCTCTCTCAATAAGCATGTCCTCAGAATAAGCATGTCCTCGGATGAGGATTTAAAAAAAGATGGTCTCGCCCTAACTGGTTTGGCTCAGGGGATAGAGTGTCTGCCTGCAGACTCAAAGGTCCCAGGTTCAATTCCAGTCAAGGGCATGTACCTTGGTTCTGGGCACATACCTAGTAGGGAGTGTGCAGGAGGCAGCTGATCGATGTTTCTCTCTCATCGATGTTTCTAACTCTCTCTCTCCCTTCCTCTCTGTAAAAAAATCAATAAAATATATTTTTTTTAAAAAAAGATGGTCTAGTTTCATTTTTTGGCTCATATCTGCCCAATTTTCCAGACATTTATTGAATAGACTATTTTTACTTCCTTGTATGTTCTTGTCTCCTTTGTCATATATTAATTGACCATATCGGTCTGGGTTCCCTATTCTGTTCCACTGATCTATATTTGTTTTTTATACCAATACTATGCTGTTTTGATCACTATAGTCCTGTAGTATAATTTGATATAAGGTAGTGTGATACCTCCAACTTTGTTCTTTCCCAAGATTGCTATCTTTTGTGGTTTCATATAAATTTGTGTTTTTTTGTTCTAGTTATGAAAATCATCTCATCTGCTGACAGTTCATACTGTGATTCAGTAGTTTTTGTATGGGATTTAAGATTCTGCATTTCTAATAATCTTCCAGATACTGCTGATGATGCTGGTCTATGGACAATACTTAGAGTAACCATATTTTATGTGTAGCCCAGTATCATTCTCTTAAGTTTCTGCAAACATTTTTGAATGAAAGATCCTTTAATTTTCCCTGCATAAGCCTTAGTGCAAAGTCTCTTAAAAATTACCCAGGCCCATGGCCGGTTTGGCTCAGCGGATAGGG